GAAATGGACCAACTGTTGGATCCAAAAAGACACTGGAGCAACCATTGGAGCCAGAATAAAGAAACTGGACCAACTCATGGCAAATAAATGAAATGGACCAACTGTTGGATCCAAAAAGACACTGGAGCAACCATTGGAGCCAGAATAAAGAAACTGGACCAACTCATGGCAAATAAATTAAATGGACCAACTGTTGGATCCAAAAAGACACTGGATCAACCATTGGAGCCCAAATAAAGAAACTGGACCTACTGTTGCAGCCCAACTATAGGAACTGGACCAAGTGTTGAACCCATAAAGACACTGAACCAACTCTTGGAGCCTAAATAACAAAACTGGTCAAACTGTTGAATCACAGATAAATAAACTGGGCCAACTGTTGGAGCCCAAATATAGGGACTGGACCAAGTACATGATACATATAAAAACTGGACCAACTGTTGGATCCAGAATAAACAAACTGGACCAACTCATGCCAAATAAATGAAATGGACCAACTGTTGGATCCATAAAGACACTAGATCAACTGTTGGAGCCCAAATAAAGACACTGGACCAACTGTTGAATCACAGATAAATAAACTGGGCAAACTGTTGAAGCCCAAATATAGGGACTGGACCAAGTACAGGATCCATATAAAAACTGGACCCACTGTTGGAGCCCAAATAAAGAAATTGGACCAACTAATGGATAAAAGACCAAGCAAGTGGTATCCAGTGATGGACCTCAGACTACATGATTGATCAGATAAACCCATTTGATTCTATCAAACTTTTTATTTAAACAAACAAACCACCAGGTACGAAAATAAAAGATATCCCCAGAACTCTGGTATAATTACGTTCCTTTCCCCCCATCTATTGAAAACATTATGTTACATTCAGCCGAGAAGGGGAACTGATGGGGGAGATTTTCACTCCGTTTTCACTCATTCTGAGTTTCAAACATTTATTTGAGGTAACTGGCGGGTTTTGTAATGACTGGGCTTGCAGCTGACATCGTGTCACAGCCTCTTTTTCATTGGCTGTTGGCAACCCACATCTGTAGAGTCGCTTATCCGTTCACACTCAACCTCAGAAAATGCAAATGTGTTTGACTGTGGCTGAGGTCAGGTCGGTTCTCCTCACACACTTGCAAACTCAAGCTTTCACTCATTCTAGCAGATTTCTGAGCAGACTGGTGGAGTAGTGCTGAAATGTTGCTGTGAATGAAGGTTTGTTTCTCTGAAAAAAAATGAAAATAAGGCGTCCAGTTGGAGCGACGGAGATCCTACTGCTGGCTAAATGCAGAGTTCCCTCAGCTCTAAAGCCCCATGTGTGTCTCATGTAGCAAAGCAGCTGTATTTAATTTGTTTTTTTTAGCCGCTTCAGTCCCATGATGTTTGTTCTGATGAACTGCAGCCACCAGTGGTTCCACTCTGAGGTGGAGGGACTTGAATGGTGCCTCTCTACCGGATGGAAGTTCAAAGGAATCCAATCATTTCTTTTCATGCAGGCACCCATGTGTTCTGATCAATGACAGGAAATTATATCCAAACCCAGATGTATGTTGGGTCACAGACAGAAAAATTACAATTAACCCTGTCAAAAGATTTCTCTGCATCTAATAAGATGATTAAACTGGTTTTTATTTTGGATGTTCCAAATGTTTGATTAGATCAGTGAGTCTTTTTCTTTTTTCCTAGCGTGTGTGTATGCTGCTGTTGTGGGATCAAAGTTAGGACCATTTTCCCCATTTCACCATGAAAGTGTAGATTGTGTTCGGTCATCCAGGTCATAGTCATTCTAAAAAAAAGAACATTAAAAACAATCCACTGGACTTTGTTTCTGTTAATATGAGGAAGTTATGTCCCCCTGAAGGCAGCTGCACCTCGGAACTTCCCTACCGGTTCTTTTCCTGGGAGCAAGTTGTTTGCTACTCTTAACTCAAACTGGGTAAAACCATATAAAAAAGGACTACAAAAACAGGAGTAAAAAAGTAACAGCATTTATTCCAGATCAGGTCGTTACAGGACAGAGAAAATGCTTGGAGCTTGCACAGCTGTGGGCTCAAAAAAGAGTCCGGCAAAGTTGAGCAAAGATTGAGCCCCGAACAATGTCATCTTCTCCTTCTTATACCTCATGAGTCCATGTTTTACATTAGGTGGAAGCTCAGCTGTCCGTATCAGAAACTGACACGCCATCCATGCCCTGACCTGTATGCATCTTGCCTCTATGCCCAAGAATTACAGATAGCTCCCCTTTATCAGACCGGCTCCAAGATATGCCTATATCCTGTGTACTTCTAAAGACACGAAGGCCGTCCTGATTAGATGACCTCCATACACACAGTGACATCCACAATGTGAAGGAAGGCCCTCTACTCTGTCTAATCTGGCTAACAGAATAACAACGCACATGATGAATAAAGAATAAACCTAACATTTCCAAGTTTGAAGTTGTTCAAATGTTTGAAACTCTCAGAATCAGTATGAGGGAAGACGGACCATAATAGGTGGTTTAAGAGGGGTGGGAAGGAAGCCATCTATGTTAAGAAAGAAAAACCAAGCTTAAAAAGAGGGGGTGGACTCAGATTTAAAAAACTACAATGTAGCAATTGGGTTAATCCCTTTGTGCTATCATCACCGCCCCAACCCCTGTACAGGAAAGCGGAAGACCTTGCCTATTCAGCATGGCCTACAATTCCCTTTAACGACCCCTCTTTCAGACACATTGACAGGTATGGAGCATTGCAGGCTAACAAAAGAAGCCCAACGACCCCCATTCCAAAGGGGTGGACCCGTTCATCCCTTTCAATTTGCATTTTTTCTAAACAAAAACAAGGTTTTATTGGGCTACTGTATACAACCTGGAACTCAACATTATTTCTGACATTTTGAATTAAAAAAGCTTCCTGGATGGGAAGAGAAACATCCTCAAACTTGGAATACAAAGTCCAGTAGATTGTTTTTAATTTTCTTTTTTCATAATATAGATTATGTTTTACCAAAGTAAGGACATTCTTCTGGCCCACCCTTCATTTTTACTAACAGTTTAGGGCTGGTTATACTCCCCCAGCAGTGTGTCGCAGTTAGTTTGCCAAAGGTATGACGTAGATGTTTTTGATTTATGCCCAATTTTGAAACGTGGTCTATGCTATGCTATTCCACACCGCAACGCAGGAGGGACAATTACAAACTAGCTAGGATTGTGGGTGTCTGTGTGTCGATTTGACAAGTGTTTTCCCGTCTAAAACCCTCTCATTCAACGCCGGACGACACACAGTTAATGTTCCTGAAAGACTGGCCATGTCGCTGCGTGTTTTGGCTTCGGGTGCAAACCGACTGTCGCATAGAGCTACAAACTAGCATCCTATACGGTGTCTGGGATAGTGTTTGAGGTGTGCCAGGCGTTGTGGACGGCACTACAGCGAGAGTTTCTGCCATTAGGTACCAAACAAGAAATATGGATGGTGGATGTAAAATTGGCCAATCAGAGGCCTCCTTTCTCTCCTCCCTGCAATAGCTACACTATCTGCGGTCACCCACAATTTTAGGGAGGTGCCTCAGAGTGTCTGCATAAGGGACACACACATGCAGACGACCTTGTTTCTGAGCATAAACCAGGCTTTAGGGTTAGAGACATGAATTGGTAATGGATTGGCTTAAGATTATTGTCAGAGTTAGGGTATAGAAAGGGTTAAAATAACTTAAAACCTATGGATCATCACTACATAAAGGAAGATAACAATATTAGTGTGTCTATTTTTTCTGCTCCTGCAGGTTTGGTGCTCTGCTATTGGGTCAGTTTTTGATGGCATCATTGGTTGTATTGTTGCTGTTACAGGTGACGCCAGAGTAATTTACTGCTGCTGTTTAAAAAAAAGCTTTAAATACAAAAAAGGTAGTGAAGCAAAGCTTCAAATGGAGGTTGAGCGAAGCAGCTAATAAAACAAAACAAAAAAAACCTAAAGCTTTTCTCCCCAGTAACTACTCCACGTTTTACAGGTTTCAGTGAATTTAGGCAGTTCAAACTGTTATGTTTCCAAACAGAAGCCTTTTCTCGCTCTACAACCAGCAGGACTTCAGCTTCCATCCTGTCTGACACAAGCCGTCAGACACAACTCTCAGCTCAGCAGTCTTTCCGCTGATCTCCTTCCTTTTTTTCCCTGCTGTTTCAGCTACATCCTCAACTTCCTGCGGACGTCTGAGCTCACGCTGCCGTGTGACTTCAAGGAGCTGGAGCTGCTGCGGAAAGAGGCAGACTTTTACCAGATTGAGCCCCTGATCCAGTGCCTGGGAGACCCCAAACCTCTGCTGCCGTACCCCACAGACACTTATGAGGAGGTGGTGGAGCTATCCAGCACCAGGAAGCTCTCAAAGTATTCCAACCCTGTGGCAGTCATCATCACCCAGCTCACCATCACTACCAAGGTCCTTTAACATCCTCTTCTTATTTTGTCTCGCCTCTGCAGGCTGCATGAACTGACCACTCCTTTTCTTGCAATTTCAAAGACCCAGATGTTCTATAATGTTAAGGGTGGAGTCACAATTTTTAAAATCTTCAAATCTGTAAGACATTTCTGTCTTAATTGAAGCTCCTTCAGTCTAGAACTCAAGGTTCTTTATAGATCATATGAGTAACAGAGCAATCCGTGCATAACTAGTCATGGGTTGCTGGTGACCGACCTAGATCTACATTAGTAGAGTTTTAGTCACATGTTTCAGGGTCAGTCTAGATTGATTTTCTTCTCCAGGCTTTCTGGTCTATTGCTTTTTTCCCACCAATTTTCAGGCCATCACCTGATCATTTGGTTGGTTCTGTCAGATCAGTCTGTCGTAACTTACTCCCTCACTGGTTCCAAACCAGCGTTTTATGCAGATTCCCTGAATAGTTCGATAATTTGGACTTTACCAGTAGAAATGAAGAACCCCTGTGTTTTTTTTTTCCTTCAGGTTCATGGAGTCCTGGAGTCCATCTCCAAAGGTTTCACCAAATGGAACAAACACATGATGGACACAAGAGATTACCAGGTTTCCTTCACGTTTGGGCCGTGTGACTACCAGCAGGAGGTCAGCCTGCGTGTCCACCTGCTGGAATTCATCTCAAAAGCTGTACGTCCGTTTTAACACATCAGTCTGAATGGAAAACAGACGCTGAGCTTTGAACAGACATCTGCTGACTGTGTTTATGCATTTCAGGGTTTCACCATAAGAAACACACGGGTTCTTCACATGAGCGAACGAGCCAACGAGAACACTGTGGAGCATCACTGGACGTTCTGCAGACGAGTTCATAAAGTCGACGACTGATAAACAGGAGGAACCTCAGAGGGTGGCTGCGTCTGCAGACACGGGCGGATGTTACAGGATCATCTGCTGATACTGAACACCAGGGACATAAAGGACAGATTTTATTTATTCATACACATGTCTTTGGTTCTGTATAATGCAAGGGGTGGAAATGTAAACTCCTTTCACTAAACAACATAAAACTAACCTCTAAACATGTTACAAGCTCCAACTCTTTATAATACTTGCCTTAGGTTTTTTAAAAAGTGCATCAGTTTTGTCTTTTTATAAAAAAAATCTCATGATCATCTGTTATTAATCCACACATGTTCTGACACTAACCGGTTCTGGTGTCTGAATTCTGCTGATGGCTACAGGTCACTTTAACATCTCTAAGCTGTTTCCAAACCTGTAAATAACCAAATACTTTTACAAATTTGAAGAGAAATGGGTGAAATATCCTTTTTTTGTTAACTTAATGACACGTTTTCCCACAGGATTTTAGATCATTTTATCCTGAAGTCAGGCCATCTGAATTTAATGAAATTAGACAACCTTGGGAAAACCCAGATAACTCCAAAGAACTCCTCATATTACTTATACTCATATTACTTACCCACCAGAGCATGTGAGTGGAGCAGAGCGGAAGAAATATGGTGGAGCGCTGAGCGGTTTTCGATTCAAAGGCCTGAGTGAGAATTTCGCTTCGATCAAGTACATTCCGATGCGAGGTGTTAGGTTCATAGCTGGGAAACGGTGCGATAATTTAACAGCCAGTTAAATAAGACAATACACATCATGTATCGGTGACATCGTTATATCAAACGCCGTGTGTCCCAGGGCCCTGGCATAATTACATGAAGGAAAAATGTCAGAAGATGCCTTCTCCTGAAAATTAGAGCGAGTGTGAAGCGATTTCACCGGAGCGACAGGAAAATTAAGGTGAGCGCGGAGCCGATTTTGAGTGGAGCGTCCTGGCGCAACTTTGAGCGGTGGAGCGAATGAGCGATCGTCCTCCTGAACAGGGAGCGAGAATTGCGTAACGCTCCACTCCGTTCACATGCTCTGTTTCCCACTGGCCGAAAAACCTGTTTAAACGTGGAAACTAGGGCTGAAATAATTAATTTTGAGTAATCGATTATAAGTCGTCAACTAATTTAGTAAACGATTAATCGTTAAATGGAGTATAGAGACTGTAAAACATGCCTTTAGCTTGTAGAGCAACCCACTTAAAGCAGTAATTAAACCAAGATTGTCAAAAAAAAAGTCAAACATTTTGCATTTAAGTTAAAAAACAGACAGATTAATCGATTAGCAAAGTAATTGGGTTTTAGTGGCAGTGGGAACAGCTCACTGATTACATAACACCACTGAGCGCGACGTATGGACGTCAAAAAACCGTGCCAGTCGCTTCTAGTCTAACAACCCGAAACAACTCTGTTTACATTCGATAAACATGAAGCAGCTCTGGTGAGAGGGATTGGGATGGATAAAAGAGCGAAACAATAAAGAATACTGACTACGCTCTTGCTCCCGCCCATTTTGCTCTCCATTATTTACTTCCCTGATTTCCATCGAACTGTCAACATCATCAACGCTCACTCACCCAGCCTGATGCCCTCAGACATCAGATACGTATCGGTAGGGGACAGTGGTCAAGAGCTGCCAGCAGGGGGTCTGACTGGGCTTTTTGGTCAAATGGGTAAAGAGCCAAAAGCCGATTGTTAGCGGGTCAACCCAGCTTTGAAAAACACAGGTTTTCAGCGGGAAAGTGGCTTTCATATAGTCAAACTGTCACAGTAATTTACAGAAAATATGGAGGTTAGAAAAAGAATTCCTTAAATCATCAGTTGGTAAAAATTTGTAAAAAATTTAGGTGTTTATAACTAAAACAGTAAAAGTACATCATGGTAAAGGGACTAAACTAAAGCAAAACGACGACTGTGCAAACCAAACCAGTCACTAAAGCTACTGATTAACTTTAGTTTAGCTTCTCCATAGAGAGTTTGGTGCTTTTCCCAACAGCAGGAAATGATGTCCATTATTCAGATTTATCTTTCCATTTATCCACTGATGCTAATTTCCACCCCCTGGTGTTTTGTTTGTTGTTCCCTCCTGAAGCTGCAGTTAGTCTGTTTTGTTGTAAAATGTGTTTATTAACACAATGGATGCACGTTAGTGAAGGTTGTTAACAGCTTCAGGTTGATATCTAATGTCAGTATTGCATGGGTAGAGTTAGCGAGGGCACTGAGAAAAGTATGTGAACCCTTAGAGATTTCTTCAGTGTTTTCTTAATTTTTTTTCTCCCACGATTTCATGTGATCAATCAAGATTTCATATGAGAGCAAGAAAACCTGGGGAAACACGAAAAGTTCTTTCTAAATTATGATTTTATGTTTTATAAAGGGGTCAAATAATTATCACTATTTGGAGGTAGTCCTAGAAGAAACAGAACATCATAGCTACAGACCAACACGGTGGTGGTAAAGTGATGCTGAGGGGCAGAGAACTTGCTGTAATCGATGGATCAGCATCAGTTCTACTCTCTAGCAGAAAATCCTGGAAGCAAGACTTCAACCATGTGTTTTAAGTTGGCTCAAGTTGAAGACCATTTAAATGATTTACTCAGTTATTTAAAACACCTGATGGCTACACTTACAACCTGGTATTAGGTATAGGAGGGGAAGATTCTCAGTCATCCGGGTCATACTCATTCCAAAAAAGAAAGAAAAACAATCCACTGGACTTTGTCTTCCAAGTTTGAAGACGCTTCGCTTCCCACCCAGGAAGATTTTCCAATTCAAAATGTCAGAAATAGTGTTGAGTTCAAGGCTTTATACAGTAGCCCAACAAAACCTTTGTTTTGTTTTGAAAACATGCAAAGTGAAACAGGCGAACGGGTCCACCCCTTTGGAATGGGGTTCATTTGGCTTCTTTTGTTAGCCTGCAATGCCCCATACCTGTCTATGTCTCTGAAAGGGGGGGGTCGTTAAAGGGAATTGTTGGCCTGGCTGAACAGGCGAGGTCTTCTGTTGCCCTGTAAAGGGGTTAGGGTTGCGATGATAGCAGGAAGGGGTCAACTCAATTGCTGCATTGTAGATTTTTGATATTAACATAGATGGCTTCCTTCACACCCCCCTCAAACCACCCATTTTCTTTGTCCAAAATGTGAACATTCTGGTCTTCAAATGAATGACATTCCCTTTAATGCCCCCCCATCCCCCCATACGCATAGACTTAGGGTATGGGGCTTTGCAAGCTAACAAAAGAAACCAAACGACCCCCATTCCAAAGGGGTGGACCCCTTTTTCAATTTGCATGTTTTCAAAACAAATCCAATTTTTAACAGTCTACTGTATAAGAGCCTCGAACTCAACACCGTTTCTTACATTTTGAGTTGAAAAAGCTTCCTGGATGGGAAGCAAAACGTCTTCAAACTTAGAAACAAAGTCCACTGGATTGTTTTTTAACTTTCTTTGGCGACAATTTCCTTAAAGGAGTCGTTAGCCAAGATCAATTTATATCCTCAATAGATAAATTTGAAAATACATTTCAATCAATTGAAAATTATTTAAAAAATTCAGGTCATCTTAATCTGATGTTTTTTAATGATCTGAAAGGTTCAAGAGATAAAAAAATGAAAACAGAAGGAGTCTATAAGATGTAAATACTTTAAAATAGCTCTGCCCAGATATCTTGTATTACCAGCAAAAGAAATGCTGTATTTGCATGTATGTGTGTCCAAACCATATGAAAGTGTTTTATAAACATTTTGGCTGTCAAAAAATAAATAAAAATCAAGGTTTATTTGTATATATTATTAAATCTTATTGGGTTACTGGAGAACCTACAGTTGTTTAAACTTTAGGGATCAACTGACTAACAAGGCGCACTGAATACACCATAAAGAGGTTGTATGAAGATCGCACGCCCAACTGCACTGAGTGAAAAACTGGGCAAACATCTCGGTACAGGCAGTTGTTGTGGCTGTTCCCAGTCTGGAGTCATCGGGTCATAAATATCCTGAACAGGACCCACTCAAGGCGATCCAAGAGAAAGAACAGAGAACCAGAACAGGTCACAGGCAGCCAAGAGTCAGGGCTGTTTCTGGGGAGATCACAGACATTCTGTCCAATGGAGCAACTATTATTGGCCTAATTGATGAAAGAAGGCAGTCCTGGTTCTGGCAAAGAGAGACCAGATGGGACTAGTAAGGGGACCAACAGACCAGTCACCACCCACGCTACCAGCTGTAGCTCGAGCAGTGGGTGTTTGAGCAAAACCTCTGGTATTGGCCAATGGAAGATGGTCCTTCGGTTTGATGTTTCAGTATTTCTTTTTCCCCACGAAAACCATATGTCATAGCATCTGCTATAAGTCAACAATGTTCCACAGGGAAAACATGACTATCCAGGTAGATGTTAGAGGAAAACCTGAACACAGAGATTTCCTTATTTTCTTAAGCCAGAAACTCTTAAGCCTGTGTTTATTATTACAATCAGTTTGAAACGTTCCCTTAAAATAGACAAAAAACATTCAACCCTCAATGTGCAAATAGTGCTCCCCAATGATAGCTGTCTGTCTGTGAAGCTTGCTGTTTACTGTTCTACAGTCAAGAAGGACAACTTTGATCTAAAGATATTAAATGTTATGAAAAAGCTGTGGTGTCAACCTCTAATTAAAGACCTAATATACCCAAAATATTATCAATTAACCAGTTAGAGTTAGTCAATGAGTTATTCTAATGGAGGAAAACACAGCTGTGATATAACTCAACAACACATCTACTTTAAGGGTACAACTTGATTTATTAGAAAAGAAAATCCCTTTATTGTTCCACAATGGGGACGTTATGGTATTTGTGTTATAAACTTGATTTATTACATTCACAAAATCATTAACATTGGTTATTACCAAGATAGATTTTATTGTATGTCCCTTATATGCAGCTGGAAATGCATATATTTTTAAGTCAAGTGCTTGTGGGAGCATGTGGCTGTAGGTGTGATTCAACAACAAAGACAACACTCGCTTTCCAAGATGGCCGCCATTTGCCATGTGTTTGCTGTGGAGTCCGGAAGATGGTGGGTCAGGTGACCAACATCTTGCACAGGAAGTACTAGTCATGTGAGCGTTTCGCATGACATGGTGCAAAGAATAAACTATCACAGGAACAGTGCAATTCTGATGCAGCAGAGTAAACACAAAAGGGTTCATTTAGCAAAGAAATGCAGAAAAATTATGCTGAACAAGAACACACTAAGTGTAGAAGAATCGTTAACTGGTATTTATGCAATGCGACTGTCCGCAATTTTCTTTAAATTAATGTTTGATCAATTTAAGGATAAAGAATAAAAAAGTAATTTAAATGAGTTTATTTATATAGCGCAAATTTATAATGTGATCTCAAGGCACTTTATAGACTACAGTGAACAGAGACAAAACATTTAGTCAATAGAGCTCATTTGAAGCCCTTTTTATTCCTCCATTCTTATTCTCATGAAGGTACTGACCAGAATTAGACTTGTGTGTCCGAGTGTTCATTTGGATGTAGCGTTAGCAACATTAACAGCCATGCTTCTTTCACCATTGTCTCTTACACAATTAGGTAAAACTTACACAAGTACAAACACTTATGACTGTTGGAATAGACACTTCAGATTTAATAGAGATGGGAGCGGTGTATACAGGATGGGCTAATATTAGCTATTATTATTGCAACAAAAGGAGAAGGGGAAAAAAACGCATTTTGAGGAAGAGCCATGACTTCACATGAAAAAAACCAACCCCCTTTTACACCCTGGACTCTGAAACCCCTCTTCCCCTTTTATTTGTTTATTTGTTCTTATTTTCAGTAGTGTTTATTGCCTGCGTAGTTATTAGCAACCATTTGCATGGTATGGTTGTTACATGTCAGGTATGCCAGTGTAGGTACCAGATCTGCTCGGGTCCTGCTTCATGCCAGTGATGATTGGCTTGACGTTGCCACATTGTCATAAAACGGGGACAGGCGGACCCAGTATACAAGGTGAGACAGCCAGTAACAAAGTTTAAAACGTTTATTAAAACAAAGACATAAACAGACGCAACAAAAGTGGAGCTGCTGATGATCTGTGGCTCGTGGCAACTGCAGAAGGCTCAGACACTCTGTTTGTGGGAGAAACACAGGTAAGTGACCACGATCATCTGACAGAAG